TCTTTATCCCACTTTTATTATTTTCATAAGTAACTCAAGGCAGCAAACATACCTAATAGTAAAAGGGATGAAAATGATAAAAGTCAGGAGCTGCAGTTCTCTTTCTTAGATCACAAAAAGGGATCCCTTTTGCTCAACTGGGGTAGCCAGGATTTTGTTGTTGTTGTTCTTAATTGCGAAGTCATGTCCGACCCATCGCGACCCCATGGAGAACATTCCTCCAGGCCTTCCTGTCCTCTACCATCTTCTGGAGTCCATTTAAGCCCACGCCTCCTGCTTCAGTGACTCCATCCAGCCCCCTCATTCTCTGTCGTCCCCTTCTTCTCTTGCCCTCCATCTTTCCCAGCATCAGGCTCTTCTCCAGTGAGTCCTTCCTTCTCATTAGGTGGCCAAAGTACTTGAGTTTCAACTTCAGGATCTGGTCTTCTAAGGAGCAGTCGGGGTTGATCTCCTCTAGGACTGACCGGTTGGATCGCCTCGCAGTCCAGGGGACTCGCAGGAGTCTTCTCCAGCACCAGAGTTCAAAGGCCTCCATTCTTTGTCGCTCAGCCTTTCTTATGGTCCAACTTTCACAGCCAGACATTGCAACTGGGAAAACCGTGGACCAGGAATAAGGAGACTTTCTCCCTGGCTGTTCCACTTGCCCTTGTTCGATCTTTGCCCTGACTCTCCAATCTCTCCTTCCAGACCCAAAACGCTCAGCTGCAAAGGCAAGGAAGTGGAGAACGTCTTCACCATCCAGACCGTGGAAGATGCCAACCGGGTGGTCAAAGTGGCCACTGGCAAAAACGCCGTCGTGGTGGGAGCTTCTTTCCTTGGTGAGCAAAAGGCTGTGTCGACGGCCTCGGAAGCTGAGCTGATTTGTAATGTGGTTTCTTTAATCTGAGCTTAGTACGCCGTAGGAACCAACGGTTGTGGTTTACTACCTAGGGTCTACGGCTTAGCATGCAAAGCAAATCCTGCTGCTTGTAGTTTATTGTACAAACCGTGATTGATGGTTTAGTTAGTACAATGTGTGAACATTGGCCAAATATCTCTTGAAAATTAAACTCCGGCCCCAAGATGGAGATGTGTGTGGGGGGGTTCCCCATCAGTTCTTTTTTTTCCTTGTTTCGCCCAATTTGACTTGTTTCAGCAGCCGGGTTGTTTTGTATCAAGCAAGGAGGCAGCTGCTAGATATTGCTTGATACAGGCAGATTAACCCCACGGAAGGGTTTCATGCAAATTACTTTAATTCATCGGGCATCCTCAAGACATTAACTTACAGTTACTGTAGAGATTCTTCTGAAATACATGTCATAATCTGGACCCATCACGTAGGTAAAAAAAAGATAGCTTCTTCTATACCAGTGGTGGCAAACCTATGGCACGGGTGCCAGAGGCGGCACTCAGAGCCCTCTCTGTGGGCACGGGCGCCGTCGCCCCAGTCCTAGACCCTCAGCTGGGTTTTATAAAACCTTTTCGCTTTAGTCCTCCGCCGCTGTGTGCAAAAAAAAAGGTTCAATCAGTCAATTTCAACTTCTCGTGGGAAAAAAAAAGATCTTGCAAAGTTGGAATTGATTGATTGAACTTTTTAGTCCCACCCAGTCTGCCGTTACCACCGCAGCCATGCCCACCCAATGGGCCACGCCCACCCAATGGGCCACACCCACCCAATGGGCCACACCCACTCGGCACTCGATGATGCATAAGTGGGTTTTGGGTTGCAGTTTGGGCACTCGGTCTCTAAAAGGTTCACCATCACTGTTCCATACTAATGAAGCAAACAGATGTCGTGGCTGGACTTCATAGAGACCTCGCTGACTGGCACGTAGCCAGGAAGTCTGGTAATTAAAGAGAAGTCCCTCCCAGTGGCCAGTCCAAACACAGATATGGCCAGGTAACATAAACTACATTACCCAGAAGGCTATCCCTTAACGGGGCTGTTCTTAATTCCTAAGACAGTTATATACTCTTAAGGTGACCAATCGTCCTCCTTTAGGGAGGACAATCCTTCTTTTGTAAGTTTTGTCCTCTCTCGAAAAGTGTCCTCCTACATGTCATCCTTTTCGATATTTGAAGACAAATCTATAAATCTCCGTATTCGATCGATGCCGATCTGATCCCTTGCGTGTGATGTGACGTATTTGTATTTGACATGACGATTCGTCAAGGCTTGGTACAGTGCGGCGAGACGCGATTATGAGACGCATGCGCTCCGCACAGGAGAATTGTTTTGAGAGAGTTGCGCCGCGCGCAAGAGTGCGCCGCATGCAAGTAGCTTTGTTTACTTCTTACCGAAACACGACATGGCGCGCACACACACACACGCATTAGTCTCACTTTTTTTCTTCAATTTATTTGTGTCCTCCTTCTCGTTGTAAAAAAGTTGGTCACCTTAATATTCTGACTGGCACACGGGTCTTCTGCCTTTGCGCTGCACCAAGCTGCAGGATCCCCACTCGTTGTGGGTCTTTCTGACGGAGCCTTCCTAACCCTCCTGCTCCGTCTGCCGTTTTGCAGGGATGGAGGTGGCCGCCTACCTTTCGGAGAAGGCTCACTCGGTCTCGGTGGTGGAGCTGGAAGAAGTCCCTTTCAAGAGGTCCTTTGGGGAAAAGGTTGGGCGAGCCCTCATGAAGGCAAGGCAGCTGCCCGGAGGGGGCCTTTGGGGAGGGGCGAGCCTTATTTTGAGGGGCCATTTGGGAATGTTTTTCAACCTTCTCTCCCCCTCCTCTCCCCTCGGACAGATGTTTGAAAACAACCGAGTGAAGTTCTACATGCAGACTGAAGTGTCGGAACTGCGGGAACAGGAGGGCAAGGTAGAGCCGGATGGATGGAATGGATGGAAACTAATCAAGGAGAGATTAAGGAGAAACTTCCTAACACTGAGGACAATTAACCAGTGGAACAGCTTGCTTCCAGAAATTGTGGGCATCACTGGAGGCTTTTAAGAAGAGACTGGATAGTCACCTGTCTGAAATGGTGTAGGGCAGGGGTAAGTAACCTTGGCTCTTTTATGACTCATGGACTTCAACTCCCAGAATTCCTGAGGCAGCTATGCTGGCTCAGGAATTCTGGGAGTTGAAGTCTATGAGTCATAAAAGAGCCAAGGTTGCCTACCCCTGGTGTAGGGTCTCCTGCTTGAGCAGGGGGTTGGACTAGAAGACCTCCAAGGTCCCAGTTCTGTCCTGATTGAATTGAATGGAGTTTAGCAAGGCTTTGGGGCCCCTCAAGACCCTCCATTGAGCCTCTGGTTGGAAGAGGCAAGCCAAGGGGGGGAGGCCAGTCTCTTTGCAAGCTTTGGAACAAGTAGCCAAGTGAAAAAGGCGGGAAACTTGCATTTCTCCTGGGGAGGCCAGCTCTGTAGACAGGATGCCCGGTTCATCATCTCTGCCACCTCCTGTTTCTTTGGGGAAAATATGAATGTCAAGAAGAGAATTGGGCCCTTCCCATCTTTGCCAACGGTCTTCTAGCACTTCCCCAACCTTGCCCCCCTCCCATGTGGACATGACTTGACTGCCCCCCCCATCAGCCACAGCCCCTGCAGCCAATATCCCCCAATACCCTCCGCTGGACTCATTTTGAGAGCTTAGGATTCTGCCCCTGCACAGAGTGAGGAAGGCCATTGTGGTGGAGGCAACCGGTGACTTCCTTGGACCCGGGCAGGCATGGAGGAGGGAAGGGGAGGGAAAGGAAGGGGAGGGGAGGCTGACGGACCGTCTTGCCTTATTCTGTTTTCAATTGCCCGGAGCTTGGAAGGTGGCCAGGATCTTTCAAACAGGATCTTTCTGTTGGAAACAGCCCAGCCACATCCATCCACCCAAGGAGGGGTGGGACGTCTCTCCCACCCAGCAGTGCCTTGTTTTTCTGGCTTCGGGGGTGTCTCAAACAAATCAATTTGGCGTTGTTGTTTTTTTAATTGGCTGCATTTTATCTTTCCCCAAAGCTAAAAGAGGTGGTGCTGAAGAGCGGCAAGGTTCTTCGGTCAGATGTCTGTGTGATCGGCGTAGGTAAGTTGCTGGAGAGCTTTGGGGGCCTGGCCTGGGGCAGGGGTAGGCAACCCAGGCTATTTTATGACTCGTGGACTTCAGCTCCCAGAATTCCTGAGCCAGGATGGCTCAGCTTGGAAACCTCTCCCTTTCCCCTCAGCATGGCTGGCTCAGGAATCCTGGGAGTTGAAGTCCACGAGTCATAAAGAAGCCAAGGTGGCCTACCCCTGCCCAAAATGCCTGAATTTTGATCACGTGACTGTGAGGAAAAAACATTTAAATATTTAAATCAGGGTTCTTCAAACTTGGTCCTTTTATGACTCGTGGACTTCAACTCCCAGAATTCCTGAGCCAGCATGGCTCAGCTTGGAAACCTCTCCCTGTCCCCTCAGCATGGATGGCTCAGGAATTCTGGGAGTTGAAGTCCACGAGTCATAAAAGGGCTAAGGTTGCCTACCCCAGGTCTGGGGGCAACCAAGGTCAAGATGGCACCAGGACTGCACAATCAAAGTTCGCTCTCTCCATGTGTCACATGCTTTGGTCAGTTGTACTTGACCTCTTGGATAACCTCCTGGGGATGTCCCTGACTGCTCCTGTGTTTTGGAGAGCCTTCCTTGACCCTCCCCACAACGACAGCCCCTATTTTAATCATACAGCTCTGTCTGTCCACCAGGGGGCAGCACATAGCTGACAGTTGCTGCGTTTGACAAAAAGTTGGAATCAAAAGTTGGAATTGAGATTGCCGGGAGAAATATCAACAACCTAAGATATGCAGATGATACCACTCTAATGGCAGAAAGTGAAGAGGCTCTTGATGCGGGTGAAGAAGGAGAGTGCAAAAGTGGGCTTGAAACTCAACATTAAGAAAACCAAGATCGTGGCATCCGGCCCTCTCAATTCTTGGCAAATAGATGGGGAAGAAATGGAAGTAGTGACAGATTTTATCTTCCTGGGCTCCAAGATTACCACAGATGGGGACTGCAGCCATGAAATTAAAAGATGCTTGCTCCTGGGGAGGAAAGCTATGGCAAATCTAGACAGCATACTCAAAAGCAGAGACATCACCCTGCCAACAAAAGTGCGTATAGTCAAGGCCATGGTTTTCCCAGTTGCAATGTATGGCTGTGAAAGTTGGACCATAAGAAACGCGGAGCGCCAAAGAATGGAGGCCTTTGAACTATGGTGCTGGAGAAGACTACTGCAAGTCCCTTGGACTGAAAGGCGATCAAACCGGTCAGTCCTAGAGGAGATCAACCCCGACTGCTCTTTAGAAGGCCAGATCCTGAAGTTGAGACTCAAATACTTTGGCCACCTAATGAGAAGGAAGGACTGACTGGAGAAGAGCCTAATGCTGGGAAAGATGGAGGGCAAGAGAAGAAGGGGACGACAGAGAAGGAGGTGGCTGGATGGAGTCACTGAAGCAGTAGGCGTGAGCTTAAATGGTCTCCAGAAGATGGTAGAGGACAGGAAGGCCTGGAGGAACATTGTCCATGGGGTTGCGATGGGTCGGACACGACTTCGTAATTAACAACAACAAGATTTTTGGATGGGGGACCATCTGGAGATTCTAGGACTGTGACTGAGCTGGAAGGAAAACTATGGCAAAATACTTCTGTATGGTTGCCCAGAAAATTGTCCCTGAAGTAAGTCACAGGACTCAGTGAGCAGAGCAAGAAGAGAGATTATATCTGGCACCGGCTGGTTCACAAAAACTGAGGCAATAAATGAGACAAAGAGACCAGAGATGAAGAGAGGCAAACCACCATCTTGATGCCAAGAAGTCTACATGAAATACCCACCTGTTGTCTGAAAAACACTTGTGTTTGTGGAAAAGAGAAAAAGTGAGAAAGTAAAGTTTTATCTATGACAGAGACATCCTTGCACAATATAATTATTTGATGTGACGGAAACCGGGGTCCACTGAAGCCATGAGAGAGTATGAGAAGGAAGTGATGGCCTGACGGGGAGCCCAAAGAGTGGAGGACTTTGGCAGCAAGGCAGCATCGGGATAAGGGCCGGGAGACGCTCAAGGATGCTTTACTTTATTCATTTAAAGCATTTTAATTCGCTTCCACACCAAAAAGCCAGAATGTTCTACAGGCCACCAAAGAACAACCACCACCTAAAGATAGTTACGAGCTAAAAATTGTAACTTGGAAGGGAAATAGGAGGAGGAGGGAAGAGGGGAAAAAAATCTTACAACAAAGCACCAATTAGTAATTGGGACTTAAAATTGTATTATTTCCAGTTTATATGGATGGTCTATCCTTGTATGATTTATAAAGCAGATGGTGTTGTCAAGGGTAATTAGCACTTGGTAATGGTCTTTTCTGTGGTTCAGATAAATGGGGCTGGGAGCCAAGAGTCCCTCCCACTGTTAATGCCCCTCTTATCTTTGGTGCAGGAGCCACGCCAGCCACCGGCTTTTTGAAGCAGAGCGGCGTTCATCTGGACTCCAAAGGTTACATCGTGGTGAACAAGGTAGAAGCAGCCAACCAGGCCGAAGAGGGAGGGTTGCTGGTCAAACACTGGATGTTTTATTTTATTTTATTTTATTTTATTTTATTTTATTTTATTTTATTTTATTTTATTTTATTTTATTTTATTTTATTATTTTATTTTATTTT